CCCTCTAAATGAAATCCTATGTTAGAGAACTAAATATGCCTGATCAGGTAAGTGTCATACCTGATTTATTGCATAACAACAACTTTGTGGTTAGTTTCAGTAGCTTTAATGTTTAAGGGGAGCTTAGACTGCCATAAAGCAACGATCTGAGTCATATTCAGTGAAGGATCCAACTCTTTCAAGCTGCAGGCATTTTTTTAAGAATAGCAGCCTACACAGAGCATCAATATTTGGGTAGTATATGGACCTGAAAAATTATTTGATTTATATCAAATTGGACCAAACATTTGTCAGTGTTACTCTAAGTCTGTTTCATATCATAACTCTACTGTCCTGAAAAATAAACATCTAAAATTAATTATAAAGGGGGGTGGAGACAGGTGCAGGTCCATCTATCCATTGAAATAAAAAAACAGTTTTCCTGAAAGGTACCCAGGGAAACCAATTCATTAGATTTAGCCTGCAGTCAGGATTGTTATTATGCAAAATCTTTGACTTAATTACTAATATTTCAAATGTTTTCATTTACTAGAAAACCTTTTATCCCCAAGAAGCAATACACTACATGGTAACTGTTTGTCTAAGTGAGAGATTGTGTACAAATATTTATCTGTTTTCCACAGTTTGAAGACAAGTTGAAGTAGTGCAAACATATTTACCCCCAGTGGTGTCACATTTTCTGTATTTGTGCTTGTTCTAATGTCAAGCTGCACGCCATTTGAGACCGTTTCTGTTGTATTAATTGGCAAAAATCTCGTATCTTTGCCAGCTCCCAGTCAGTTACATGGAGCCCTGCTGTGTGCACCTCCTGTGGGTAATGCATTTTAAATGGAGGGGCGTGATCCCACCCTTTCCGTTCGCATCATTAACTTCCCACTGATTGATAAACAGTGAGCTTCCAAGGCCATGTGGGTGTGCCTGACTTGTGACATTCGCCACATAATGTAGGTGGCTGCTGGATCATTGCTTGGCATGGATGAGAAGCTTCCCTAAGTGTTGTCAGCTGGCTGGGAAAGTCTCGATAGTTGTTGCTTTTAGTTGTCTTTTTAGTGCAATTTTATGACTACTGCAAATGTCATTGGCTAGTTTTTTTTATTTACAGGCAGTACTTGTCCACAACAAAGCTATTGGTCAGCAAATGTCACATTGGAGTTTACTCCTAGGCTGAGTTTAGCACACTTTTTCTCTTCACGTTGGTGCTCGTTTTCCAGGAGGTGGTAATAACTGCTTCCAGTCCACTAGGATTAATCAGTTCAAGTAATGAAAGATGGGAAACAGCCTTAAATTATGGAAGTGGAGTTGTGCATAGAGCCCATTGTACAAACCTGGCAGGTGTTAAAAGGCTGGGTTCCAGCCTGTTACTACCTGCTTGGTTTACTCTCCTAATTAGGTCTGGTTCGAAATGCATCGTTGGTCAGGAGGTCGTTTAATCCACAGATAATTGAGACCAAGATAAAGCTGAAAACAGGTCAGAGAGTTACAGTGGCGTCCGGCCATTAGGATATTAATATGGGAAAAGAAGACGTTTATATCCTTCTCTGTGAAACACAAGGAACCCAAGGAAAATATGAAATTGGTGGAACAATCTGAGTAACTGGATTTGGGAAAAATCAGCTGAGTAAACGCCAAGACAAAGCATCTGACAGGGGTCCAGTGGAGTTAAGATGACTGCAGGCTGGTCTTGGCAAAATCTTCTTTAGCCATCTGCTTCACGTCAAGGAAGAGTCTCCAAAAAGCAGCACTGACTTTCTTCCTAAAATCACAATGATTGATCAGAAACACTAAAAGATGTACTGTTGAGGGAAAAAAAAACATTGTCTGTTTTCTATTCTGTACACTTTAAAAAGTCTAAAAACACTCAGGCTTTAATAAAAGTTTCCCATGAGTGGTTGGAAGGTGTAGCTAATAACTTTCTTTAAAGGGACATAAAAATCATCATCTGCATAGCATGGAAAAGATATGCCATGTTTCCTTAAGATACTCCCCCAAAAAGGAATATAGATGGATAAAAATGAAAGGTCATTTTTATTGACCTCTTATTGAACTCAGCAGCTCTCCATAATTAAAAAGCATCAGACATAAAACCACCTTTGTTGACATATTTTCCTTTTATTGATCAAAACCAGTCTAAAGCTCCACCACACCATCATCCAGGATCCATACCTTAGGATGAAGAGTTATGTCTTTTAGGAAAAGGTGTTTGAAGACCTTTAGGATGGATATTTTAGTACTGAGGACCTAAATGGATAGTATCAAGAAAGCACCTGTTGCATTCAAAAAAGCCTTTTTTTCTTTAATGTCCCTTTGGGTGCTCCATATTATCAGTGGTGTGATAAGTTTTAATTGCATGACGAAATCATTAAAAGACCTCTACATTTTGTGTAAAATGCTGCTATATCTCTAAAAGCTCATCCACTGTAAGAATTTTCCAAAGGCCTATAAAAGAGAAACCGGCCCACAGTATCCCAGAACCCTAACGCTATTAACCGTGTGAACTAGATTCTTTTTGCTATATTCACCATTTGTCTCCATCTTCAAACACCTGAAGTTCAAGTTGCCAAAAAAGTTATTTTTAGACTAATTTGAAAAAATGTGGTTCCATTTACATTTCCAGTGGCTATTAGCAAACTCAACAGGTGAATATTTGAAGTCAAAGAAGGCCTTTGTAAAAGGATTTGGTTGTACCTAGACTTTTTGTAATTGTATGATTTATGAAATCAACACACCTGCATTGGAGGCTTCGTGTGCAGAGAAACGGAAAGACAAATTATTTAAATAACCCTTTTTCATTTTCTTTAGCAGTGCCAAAGTGGCATTACGGTTTTCCTGGCTTAATGATGATTTCTTAACTGTTTGCACAACATGCATGTAATATTCATCCATTACATGCATGTTGTAAAGTTGAGCACAGATGATGATATTATGCAACTGGTTTAAAATATGGATTCATTTTACAGCTTTTTCTCAGAAATTGACTCGTTCACCGCATTGGTCTGTTTTTATAGGCAGAGGCTGAGTTTGTATGTCCAAAACCTAATCAAGTCTGAAGAAACACATCATCTTATTTGGCTTTTCCTTCTCTAAAGTCCTGCTTTGATCCTGTGATTATTACCAGGTCTTTGGCTCACTAAAGAACTTGAGGGTGGGGAAGCATTGTGTCCCATACTGACCGCTCCCAAAGAAAATCGCCCCCCTCCCTGGGTTGTAACAGCTGAAGCTCCCAGCTGGGTTGTGAGTAACTGCTGAGGTCAGTAAGAGAATCCAGCTGCCTGTAGAGGTTTGTTTTTCTGCTGAGCACTCACCAAACATCTCGTGATATTCTGCAATGTTGTGCTGAACATGTGGTTTCTGTATGAACAGAGATACACTGGACTGAGGACTCGGTTGATTATATAAATAGTGAATCCACATGTTGATCTAGAAGTGCAAGGTCACTCTTTCAGTGACAATATACTGTGCTCTTTCTGCTGTTGATTCACTGTTTCCCCTCCAGCTGTGGTAGGAAAAAAACCACAAAGCTCGTTTACCTTTGATGGAACTTTTTGTGTTCAAAATAACATAATTTTTTTGTTTTCATTGATAGTACTGGATTTCCAAAAGTTAATTTGGTATTCTATGACTGTAGCTATCCCGCCTTATTAAATATTGATCCATATCATGGCTAAAGCTGTTTGTTTATGTGAATTCTCAAATGATTACCTTGAGAAAAGCTTCTTCTGTCTACAGAACTTCAGTCTCAGCTCAAACCTTCCCTTCATCAGTAAAATTATTGAAAAAGTTGTGTCTCGGCAGCTAAAAACCCCCCTAACAATGACCGGTCATTTCAATGTCTTCCAGTTATGCTTCCATGTTCACCACAGTTCAGAGATTGCCCATGACACAATGTTTAATGGTATTCGTATGAATACAGACTGTGGAAGAACCACAATGCTGCTTTTATTGGACCTTAGTGCAGCATTCGACCCGACAACTACCCATCACTCCACTTTATGAGACAACCTTCAAACCTTGGTCACCTTTTTTGTTTAAGTTGATAAATATATAATGGAGACCACAAAAAAATTATACATTGTTCCTCAGGGGTCCGTCATAGGCCCCCTTCTATTTAATATCTACCTGCTTCCCCAACTCAGATCTTACAACAACATAAGTTCACATAACAATTGGTGCGGCCAAATCCGGGTTTTCAGTGGGTGAGTGGCTTTACATTTGAGCCAATTTAAGTATTTTTCAAGAACTATGTTAGAAATCCGTTTGTTGTTGGTAGCGTTACAAAACAGGAGACTCCACACGTAACCTTATAGTTGTATATTATCCTAACTTTGAAATTAGCAGAAGGTTGGCAACTTTACCAAATTTAACATGTTACTAACAGATATCGAAAGCTGAAATAGATTTTTACTTCTACCAGCCTTCTTGTTTAATGTTGATTAGCTTCTTACATCGTTTTAATTTCCTCCGTCTTCTTTTTTAACACCCCACTAATGCATAAAAATTTCATTTTGATTTTTTTTCCAGCAACAAAAAAATTCTGCACTGAGTCGTGTTTCTGTCTGAGAATCCCGTTAATCCCATAAATTTATTTTTACCACACATTCATTTGTATCTGCAAATAGAATGTTTATCTCACTTTTATACTAATTTATTTGTTATTTTGTCTTGTCAACAGCGTCTAAGCTAATCTCCATCTCTGTTGTATCCTAGAATGAGTTATTGATTGGTATTGAATGCTTCGTCATGGTGGGTGCACATGTTGTAAAAGGTTATTTAATAGAAAATAATACAGCAGGCTTTAAGCTGTTTTCTGCCTTCAAAGCTGCTTAGCTTCATTTATGCGATCCTGAAACAGAGTAAGGTTTAAAATATCAGCAGATGGTTTATCTTCCGTGCAGGGGAAACAGTAGTGAGATGGTTTAACACAGGATGATCCCTTTATGTTTGATCACGCTCCCTGAGGTCAATCTTAAGTGTTTGTTTTCTTATCTTTTTTTACTTTCCAGGGGGCTGTTTGCTGGTAACTATATGGAAACCCATTACCTGGAAGACGGCAGAGAAGTCACAGGCCCTCACAACTTCACGGTACATTTCCTTTTATTTTCCTGTAACAAAACTTGTAATGTTTTCTGAATTGCTACCACGCATCTCAAATAGGTGTTGGGATTCTGTTAAAGTCTTTCTCTAGAAATGTTCTGCTTCATTGTGCTAATATTACAGAGACTTCAGAAAGTAAAGTTATAGTGATATTACTGCTAGCCTCTGCATAAGGCCACCTGGATTTGTTCAGAGTGTAGGTGAGTGGGCCCATTTCCAGCAGGTGGATTTATATTTGATGGAATAAAGGCTGACAGGGGTCAAAAAATAGACTTCGTTTTAGGAAACAGCTCCAGTCGTTTATAATGGATAACGTTAAAGGCATTCCTAAAAATGGTTTGTTATGCAGGTCTGCACGAATATCTTGAATTAGTGAACATTTAAGTGCACTTCAGAAGTCACGCTGAGTAAAATATTCATATCATTTATGAGCTTTGTAGCGAGTAATTTGAGAAAGCGTTTTTATATAAAATACTTCTGTAAAGTCTGACGAATGGATTATGCTTTCCTATAATCTTTGACTCCAGTTCAGTTCTAACATATAGCTTTACTGTAAGTGTAGGTTTTGGTCTGTTGCTGCAAAAGTACTTATTTCTTTTACACGCTTTGCTAATTTGTGTCAATGCTGTGATAAATACTCCTCATTTTCATCAAACTCAATTAGGCATCTTAAAGCAAAACATATTCAGCATTTAAATACTCTGGGACTTTGAAATTATATTCCATGGATGCACAAATATGATGCATTGAAAGGCATTTTATGTTTCGGTTTGGTAAAGATAAAAAGGTAATTATAGCAGCATTGAGCAGTTTCTACGCTTTGCAGCTCCACCAGCTGGCTTTATTTCAAGGGATTTGTTTTTCTGCAGTTTGGAAAGCAATTAAATGCTACATTTTCCTTCAAAATACCAATAAATCATCAAAAAAAACACACCGGCAGTGTGTGTTGAAGCTTAATGGTCAGTTTGTCTTAAGAAAAAAGGCATAAAGAGGATTAATTGAATTGCAATTTTTTGAATGCACATGACAAAACGGAGAACCTTTTCTGCTTTTTAACTGTTGTCAGACGCAAACTGCTACTTCACTGATGGGGTTTGCCCAGCTCATTAAAATCACTGTCATTCCAGAGCATAAATACAAAGAAAGGGTTGTACCAGGCCAGTGTGGTGGTTTGTGAGAGGTCATTGCTTGCCAACTATGAAGAGATGAATTTTTAATCCAAAACTGAAAGAACTGGATGTGGTGTTTATGTTGAGGTGACAAAGAGACATGCTTAGACTTTCTTCTGGTTGGTTTTCTTCGATGTCTAACACACAAATACCAGTTTCTATAGATTCCGTATTTAGGGTTAGGACATTCTGTAGTTTGTCTGAAAATCTTTGCATTTCTATTAACCAAAAATGCAAAAATCCTTTGCGTAAATTTTACATCTAGTTTATATATAATATATAGTGTATAATAAAGTGCAGTGCATCCGATGCATTTATGAACAAAATTTAATGAGTAACTTTTTGATGACCCTCCCCCCTTTTTTTTTTTTTGTTTGGCCAAGGAGGGGCTATTATGGAAAACGGTTTTTCTAATATCTGGCTGGCTTATTAGGGATAATCTTCTGATGATAAGAAACAGGGCCGTTTTGATTTATTTTTCTGTTTTGTTCCTGTAGCTGTTTCGAGTTCTTTTAGATCAGGCATTAACAGGCCATTAACTAAGGCCATTTCCCAATTTACAAGTATGTGAGTACAGTATGGACTCGGGTTATGACCAAGTACATTCTTGTCAAGAACATTGGAAGTATGGACTCGGGGAGAACGGGGGCAAGCAGGACAAATCTATCCGGGTTTTGTCTTCTTGTTCTTGTGAATTAAAATTGGAACGGTCCTTTTTTTAATATTATGCACCAAATCAGTAAATGGGCTATATATGAGGCTTAAAGGTATAATGTTCTCGCCTCAAACATTCTTAAAACATACTTTTGTAGAACTACAGCAACAGAAAAGCGAACCCCTGGAAGGTGCTGCTGCCACGGTGCATGCTGGGAGAGCTATCTGGTCCGCTGACAAGTCTGCTCTGATGCATGCTCGGTAAAGAGGGAGGGGCAAGAACAACATCCGGAGACTTTGTCCTTTCTCAGTCTTGTGTTCTTGTCAATTGGAATAGTGCTGGAGCTGAGGCTGATGAAGTTACACTAACACATAAGAATGTACAAGTACTATTGAGAAACTGCCTTTTTTCTATGTCCAAATACACTTTACAATATAGGCCACTTATATGGGCCTTCTTAAAAACCCTATACATACCCTATTCAATCTGTATTACATGTTGATAACATGACATGCTAAAGAGAAAAGTTTTAAATTGCATTTCATAACTCTTTTCTGTCCAAAGAATGAGCAGTAATTCCCTTAACAACCAGTGACTGTTACATTAAACTGACTACAGGAACATCTTCTGACCTCTGACCCTCCACTCATTCCTGTCTCACGGTCACAGCTGGTTCTTTGAGGGGAGGATCCTTTTCCTGAAAGCAACCAGACCTTTTGAGAGTGAGGTGTGGGTAATTTATCTGTCCGGCTGGCCAGGAGGAGGCTGATATAGTGATTTGGGATCTTTCGGATTTCACTCTGCTGCGAGTGGTTCCAGCATGAGTCAGCTCTTTCCCTGATCATGTTTATCACCCTCTCCCTTTCTCATTAAATCTAAATCCACATGGAGCCCAATAAACAAGTGTGCTGCAACAAAAGCCATGCGCTGGAACAATCAATCACACCAGGGGATAGGCGGCTTGGATAATTCATGTTTAAGAAAAATATTTGGATTTAAAAAAAACTGTTACCTTCCATTATAATTTAGTTTTTAGATATTAATCTTTGTTAATAATTTCTGATGTATTTACATATAAGTGCTTTCCTCTCTGCTTTATTCAGGAACCAGAGAAACAAAAAGTCTATTCATATCCCTTATTGCAATGAATCATAGTCATGATCTCATCAAAGAAACATGAGACGATCGCATTAGCTCTAGGCACTAAATTCAGCCTTGTTCCTCCCCACTAAAATATCATTTTTAATATAATGTCCTGTCTCTGCACCTTTTACCTCATTACTGTGGATTATTCTTGTTCAGCACTCTACTAGGAAATTTCCATATATTTTGAAGAGCTCAGACCCTAGCAAAGTCTTTCTGAGAAAAGGAAAAAAAATTGTCAAAACAATTTGCAAACCAAAGACTCTGACATGTCTTACAGATAACATATAAAGAACTCTTGATAATGTTTCATATTCTGCCACAAACTTCAAAAGTACATTGTCCTCAAGCTTTTTGTTTAAACAAAGCTTTGCAAATCAATTTAGGATTTCAAAACAACTTAACAAACGAACATCCTGTTAGGCCGGGCATAGAATGTACGACTTTTCGCCCTTTTTCGTCCGATTCTCCAATCGTACCAAGTTTCAACCTCGTCCTGCGTCATGTCGTATACAGAAGGTAACGAGCAACAATCAGCGGCTTACGACCACCTCCGATCAGGAGTCATAAGGTCAGGAGAAAATCAAACATGTTTGAAATATAGTCGGCCCTTGTGAGGTGTCGGTGAGCAAATCCTGCTGTTGAAGCAGATTTACAAGCCAATTTACCAGAACCTCACGCACTGCGCATGTGCAAACAAGGGAGTTCTTCACCTTCCAGATTGACTAGTCCACCAGCGGTCACAGGCTTGTGTGGTTTTTGAACGTGTAGTGTGAACAGGTAGATCGCATCAAAGCGTTGGGCTGTAGAGTGAACTTTTAAACCCTGTGATTTCATCGTACAGTTTGAGCTGTAGCCGAGATGAAAGAATGGAAATATCGTAGAGTGTATGCCCACCTTTAAGGCCATTTTCTATATTTTCATCTTTTTTTACTTCTTTTACTATCAATTCACATGTTTAGCCTTTAAAAAAGTCATTCTAGACCTTGAACTCTCCTGTTAAAGTAAAATACTTTAAAGAAATGCATTGTGAATTAATGTTATAGACAAACACAAAGTGGCCCAAAAACCTGTAATCAGTACTTTAACACCCTCTGAATATTATTCTGTCTGATTGTTGCCTTCAGAACTTTCCTGGTTAGTAACCAGACTCCTCCTGGTAGTTCACTCCTTAAGTTAACCCTACTTAGTATATAGTTTTACAAAGAGAGTTTTAAATTGGGTCAAACAGCTTCTTTGTTTGTAAGGGAATCCATCACAACAAATCAAAACCAACCACAGCTTAATCTAGTATCTATATTTTAGAAGCTGTTGAATTTATTGTTGTTTTTATGCCACTGGCCTGGAATATGTATAACAATGCCTAATACAATTTTAGTAAGAATTCGCTCATTAGCTAAATCTAATTGAGATTCTGTGGCAAGACACGCTAAATAATTTTCCTGCTCTCAATCTGACTGATTCTGAGAGGTTTTACAGAGAAAATTTTTCAGATTTTACAACTCAAGATGAGCAAAAGTAGAAAGACCCCCAAAGTTTTAGTAATAAGTACTTTTTTAAAAAGTTTAGCTCTGTGATTCAACAGCATCTGGCACTTTTATTTTATTTTTAAAAAAAGCAAAATTTGAGAGCAAAATTTAAGGGATTTATTTGTTTCATGTAAAATCTCAACCAAATTGATTTAAGTTTTTATTTTTTAATGTGACAAAATGTTAAAAAGTTTAAGGAGGGTCGACATGTTCCAAGTTTACAACAAGTCAAAGTAATGACCGAGATACCTAAATAGAAGACATGTGTTTGACTGTATTCAATTAGCATACGCCTACTAAACTCTATTGTATTTCACCTCCAGGGAGCCACACCAGGATGAAGAGATCACTTCTTATCACTGGCTACATAAATTCATGGAATTCTCAGTTAATATGATACAGGCTTAACCTAAAGTATATCCACAAAACAACTGTATTGAACAAAAGTCTCATATCCTTTTAAAGCAAATTTGCATCACTTATATTTAAAGAATATAATTTCACAGTCACTAAATAATATATAGTTCTTTCTAAAGTGCTTTATAGTATGTTGCATTTGTATTCAAACTGTAAAACTAAGAACATCGAGATAGAGAAATGTCTAGAGTAACTAAAAACATCCCATAAAAATCTCTGGATTTAAACCAAAGTGAAATGAAAAACTGTAGATACTGCACCCCAAGACCAAATTAAAGAAAGCACTGCAGAGGCCTAATGGCTCTAAGGTGCAGAAACACTTCATGCCAAAAAGTCATCAGTGAGCTTAAGTCCCTCAGTCACCTTCCAGATATTCTCTACACACCCATCTCTTAGGACTACATCACCGTTTAGGTGTGGAGTAACTTGTTGACTTCATACTTAAAGATATACCCCGTGAGATGTTTTGCAAAAGTATGCGTCTATGTTTTGACTTTCTATGTCAAAATACTCATCAAATCCCTGAAAAACAGAATTTTTTTTTTTCCTAGCAGAATTGTTTAATTTATGTTGAAGACTTAATGATTATGAGAGGGTGTGGTGAAAACATAACGTCTCTGCAGAATGAAACATTTCAGAGATTTAGTCTCCTGGTTCCTTACATTGCCAACAAAGAATCACCATTTTATAAGTGCTCTCTGAGCTTAACACATGCCAACATTTCAGTTTTTCTCTATCTGCTTTGAGACGGATAGGTAAGTGTATTGAAAGCTGCACGACCAAAATGCTACATCCAACTGCTCAAGCTTTAGGATCCTTTTTAGGAGATGCTGGAGAAAGGGTCAAAGAAACTGTTTTCTCAAGCTACAGTAAATGGAAGATAAAGCAAGAACAAGGCTCGTCTGTTTTTTTTTATCTTATAACCAGGGTTCAGCTGGGTTTTAAAAAGTCTTAAGTCTTAAATTTACACATTTAAATTTAATACCTTTAAAGACGTCTTACAACTTATGAAATGTGATGTCATAGGTCTTACATGCAGAGTTTCCCCCAGTGTATTTTAAGCCCAGCAAGCCACCAGGCTAAGTGTTGGGATGTTTATCTAAAATGTGGGAAATTAAAATTAAGTCTGATTTAAATAAATACATTTTCTTTAATTCTAGGAATGCTATTTTTCCCCCTATGCCCATGGGATGAGTATTCAGTTTTAAGTGGTTTTCAAAAGTCTTAAGTTAAACTTTTAGAAAGTTGTAGGAAGCCTGTATAACAAAGACCAGAGCAATCGATTAGAGTCATTTCATGAGGGACTCTTCTGCAGGGACTACAGAGGTCCCATATTTCCAATCTTGACTGAACAAACAGAAATAAACCTGCAACTAACAATTATTTTGCAAATCAATTCATCTGCTGGTTATTTTTCTGATTATTCAATCGGATAGCCAAATCAAACCAGGTGAAGCTAAGATTTTTCCACTTGAGGAGTTCTGAATAGAGCATAGTGACAGACTAAATTATTTTTTTTTTTTTTATCAAATGCATAATGTTTATATATTTTTTTACTATTTTGATATAATTACTGCTCTAAGTGGGCTGCTCTATCGGCTAAAGGCATGTTTTATAGTCTCTTTACTCCAGATAACGATTAAGCGATTACTAAATTAGTTGATTATTTCAATAATCGATTAATCTGATTTATTGTTTCAGACCTAATCAGAAGTTTCTTCTCTGTTTGATTTTTTGTTTATTTGAAACCAATACAGATAAGCACATAATGTATAGATTGAGTGAAAAGAAAGTCTCAAAGATGTATACAATTTTATAAACCTATTCAACTGAATAAATTCTATTATGTGTTGGGAAATATTTTTAGTACTAATCCTAACCTCACAGTAATCATACCTATACTTAAAGAAGCCTGTGGAAACATTATGGTGAAATGCATGTAGTGCACCATTGAGTCTAAACTTACAGTGGACACGGCAATGGATCTGATTTCAATTTGGAGGCAAGGTGTTGACCTCATTCAGCAAGTCCATGCTGCCGTTGAATTAGATGTCATTATCTTGTCTGAGTTTAACTAAGCAAAGCTGCTAGGTCTAAAAGTAGTCAAAGGATTATTAAAAATTGTCTTTTAGTCGTAAATGAAAAATTAAACCCCATGACAATTTCACAGCTTTAGGAGGGTAAACTAAGTTTATCATATTTGGGGATGAAAAGTCTTATTTTATTTATTTGTTAATTTAGGAGAAACAGCATGCATTCTAAGTGTGTGAGAGGCCCTGAAGTGGCATAATCATACCTCCTGGATATAGAGATCATAGAAAAAAAGTAATTTTTGGAAAATGTCTTAATCTCCAAGCGAAACAACTACAGGACATACTTATGCAGTGGCCAGCATCCCTGTAACTAAGTTACTCTTAGTTACTCTTAGTTATAATTAGGAGCTGACACCTTTTTTTTTTAATGAGAACTAAAATACAGTTACATATTTATTAGTTCAACTCCATTTTCCCCCAAAGTGGATGTGTTTTAATTTGTAACCGAATCTCTCTTCCTGTTAGACTCATAAAATTACCACTGAATTGCTGCATAGTTCGACTAAAACAGACCTAGGGTCTATCTCAGTCGGACTTACGCAAGCCCCTTGCGTACAATTGTGTCAGGTGTGATCATCCCCATTGACTTTCAATGAGCGCTAAATGCCACGACCTCGCCAAACACAATTTTCTGTCCGATCGGACGTAAAATCGGATTTAGTGTGTTCTGGCCTTTGCAATGCGTTTTCAGTTAAAAAAAGCTCACTTTGTTTACAATATTCTAAATGACAAAAAAAATGTTATATAGTGAGCTCCTCTGAATCTTGGTACAAAGGTTCATCAGTTGTTTTTTATTCTTTCTTAGTATTTGCAAGTCAAATTAAGGTGGAACGTTGAAGAACGTCATTCAAATATACGCTGTACTTCATCTAAAGCTATGTTATTATTTGGAAATTTCAACTTGTGTGTTTATAATGAAACACCATGAGGCTATGATACTTTGACTTAAAGTTATCACTGTGAAAATCTCAGAATGAATGTGACTTAAATACAGTAATCAAAGCTGCTCACCAAGAAAAAATTACATTTAAGCAAATTATGGGTTTTTAAAGATGTCTGTAATGAGGGAAAAACAGCATTTAGTAAGACTGTTTTAAATAGCTCATGTCAGAAGTGTGAAAACACTCTTTGCAAAAATGACTTTGAAGGGATATAATGATGAAAAAATTAAGCAGAGGTTTCGTTTAACACCAGAAACCTCTGGATGATGACCATGTCAAACAAGCTGCCTCCAGAGATGAAGCCACCTAAAAGGAGGACAGATGTTAAGATTTACTGCCTGCCCACTATATTTAGAGATGCTTTTAGTCGGCTGGAAATCCCACATTTTTCTTTTTTTAGAACTGGGTGGTAGGAGTGCTGTCGGTCAGACCTCACCTGAGCAAGGTCTGCCCTGTGTGATGGAGAAAGCCAGGGGCCTGTTTTTTCTCTCAACCAGACGCTTCCGTCCCACCCATTTTCTGAATGGCCTCAGTCAATAAACATGGACCTAATTCAGTTTCTTTACTTTCTGCTCCAGCTTGACAGGTGGTCTGTGAAACTGGGCACCTTGGAATGCAGCAGACTTTAAAACTTAAGAGAAACATGAGTCTCAGGCGGCTCACATTGGCTGACTATTAGTGGTATCTGTTTATAGAAAAAAAAGACATTTAGATGTGGTGGGGACTTCACTTAAACCTGTTTTGCTACATTCCTGTTGCTATTCTATAATTAGACAATTTATCTTTACATTTTTTTGTTACTGCTTCCATAGACAAACTGCTACTACCATGGAGAGGTGGAGAGCCACATGGAGTCAGATGTCAGCCTAAGTACTTGTGCTGGGATTAGGTAAGTGTTGGTTTACCCATACAGTGCCATGCAAAGAAACTTTCCCCCTTTATCTTCAGGATATGTCATTTCTGGTATTTAGATGCTGATTTCCTAATATTTTCCTTTGCTTTTGTTAAAGTCAGATCATCGTATTGATTTTTAAAGCCGGCTTCCTAATATTGTTTTTCACATTTAGTACGTACATTTTATTGTCAGACTTATAAGCATGAAAATGGTCAGTCTGTCAAGTAATTTAAATGTGGGTTCCTCTGGAGATTCTGCCTAGACCAAATAAAAAAAAAAATGGTTTTGGTTTTAATTTGACTATAAATAGATAATAATAATAAAAAAAAAACTGTACATAAATTGCTGAAAAAGCATCAATTCTGTTAACATTAGGATAAAAGTTATGTCCTTTTTTAGGTTAAGTTTGAATAAAAAAATGTCCTTGTCTTTGAAGGAAAATCAGAATCCTGAAAGTGTAATGTTTGCAATAGGCATACTCTGTCTTCTGCGTCCCTTCTTGTTGATTCTAGTATTTGATCACATTATTATATATTAATAACTATTATATTGTTATTTACATTTCACATTTGGCTTCTGAAGTTAATAAAGCTCTGTCCCCAGTTAACCCAGGCCTCTGCAGAAGGATCACATAAACAGCAACAATAGAGGTCACAAATAAACATTTTGGAGAAAAAAAAAACACAATGCAGGTTTATTTTGTTTGTTTAGTGAATGTACTTTATTGTGTGGATTGTGGGACTCTTTGAACTGGCTTTGGAGTGCTTTGGAAATCATATATTTGTTCAAGCTTAGTGTTGTGGTAGAGAGCAACACATAATCAGCACTTGAAATACCTAAGGGTGTTCCTCTAGGGTATGTTTTCACCCCTTTTTCATTTTGGATTTTACAGTATAGCTAAACCTACAAGCTGTCAAGGACAGTTACTGAAACAAGTTGCCTTGTTTCAATACTTAGTAAAAAAGTTTCTCCTGTGATGCCGCTTGTGCATGAGATTCAATTCAGTTTATTTATAAAGCGGCAATTCACAAAACATGTCATCTCAAGGCCCTTTACAGAGACAACACATTCCAATTTTTTCCAAGTTTCTGTCAAGGAAAACCAGTTAAATGCAACCAGTCATTCACTTGTGTACAAGAAAAAGCAATTAAAAAGGTTTGTTCCTGGGTCTTAAGTATGAATGTTAGAAACTGCATTTATCTGCTTAAATTTTTTTTTAGCGTTGTAACATTTTAAAAATCCTTCTACGTAATTAATGAAGATTAATGAATTAAAGTCGTTTTTTTTTATATATATATGGTGTTCAAGTCCTATTTTTCCTGCTTATTAATTATGTGTAGGCTTTTTTTATGTTGGGGAGACTGGATCACACATAACTAGATGGATTAAGCTTTGTTGTTATGCAGGCTCTCATTCAATCCTTTGAAAGGATTGCTTTAAATGTTATGGAGAAGATGCTGGTGTTATGTTTAAAAATATTAAATTCTTAAAAAGAAAGCCAAGTTTTTTTTAATTGTGTTAAAAAAGTGTTTCATTTGGGAAGGTTTTTCAATTTTGTATTATTCTTAACTGCTTGGTCTTTTTCCCCTTTTTGATTTTCTAATGTAATACAATCTGACTGTATGATCTGGTTGAAAGTGCCTTCAGATATGTGAATTTGAGCTTTATAAATAAACTGATTTTAATTTAATATAGTTATATTTCAATTTTGTTTTTGCTTAAAAAAACAAACTAAAGAAATGTTTTATCTTAATGACTTTCCTAGCTCAATATAGGTTACTTACAAACAACTCATAATTTCATACATTCAAGTTCTTTTATTTGCTTTTCTGTTACTTTAGTTTTCTACTGTAATGTTCTACAACTCTTTGTTGCAGAAGCAGTGTTTAGTGACAGCTGCATTTCAACTGCATAAACTACTTCAGTTACATTCTGAGCGCATTAGATCATGTTTATATGTAGCAAGATAGAAATGACAATTTTCAGGAACAGTTGTTTCTTCAAGCAAATAACTAATAAATGAGACATTTTACAATGAAGATATTGAAAGATGAAACTCTGTATGAAAAAATGACATGCTGTGAGGCTCTAAGGATGGGAAGAGTTTCACGCTTGGAAACATTTTCTTTTTAGATGTCAAACAATGGAAATGATTGCTGCAATGTTGTTGGAAAGCATCAGGAATGTTGACATAAATCAACCAAAAAAATCCATACCCTTTGCAGAGTGATTTATCCGAGTACAGATGAATTGCTTCTGACCTTGGTTTATTTATTTTAGTTTCTATGTCAACCATCTAACAAGAGACAGAACAACAGCACTTTTTGACGTAGAACTAATCATAGTTTGACCCACTTGTAGACACAAATGGCTCCTAGTTTGAGGTTGGCATCACTTAGACTCGGGGGAGTTTCTCACTGAGGTTTATTCAGCATTAAATACTGTGAAAGTTTCAAGTCTGGTTGGGAGAGTTATTGTTTCTACTGCAAAGGCTTACATTATGAGATGTAGAAAATAAAATAAAAATAATTTAAAATGCCACATATAAAAGGCCGTGCAATCAAGTGCCATATAAAATTATTGTTATTACACCGCAATGTAATGACTTCTCTTTTTTGCCTTTTGCAGTAAGCATAGGCACAGCCACATCAAACATGATTTGCAATTGTTCTGGGTTATTGCATTAGGAATACTTTTGCATGGTATGACAAAAGAGATGATTGTTAATGGCTAAAGGAGAACTGATTAATAAAAAATAAAAAAAACACACAAACTAATCCAAGAGAAACAGTGGGGTTTGACCTCTGACTGGCATGAACATATTTTATGAAATTAACACTAAAAATAGCTCTTTAGTGTGACAGAAACTCCCAAGTCAGCATCTTTTCTAACACTTCCAAGACATACATTTGGCATCAGGATGGATGTATTTTTGGCCCTAGAGGTGAGTCAGCCTCTCTGGCTTTGCTGCCAATCCACATACCTACCTGTTGTTGGCATGAGCATTGGAGCTTTCAGAGACTTAGGGTTTAGGGTGGGATAGGTGTGGGTTTTTAATACACAGTAGTCCAACAGGAAACAACAGTACATCCAAGGAGGAGGGGGGGCTGGCATGGGATCTTTCACGCCTCTTTCTCTGCTCCACCTGGGGATGGGGCTGGGCCCTGGGGTTAGCCAATGGCTTGTTGGGGGTTTCTGGCTCTCCTTGGGCTCTCTCCGGGCTTTGGTTCTTATCCTATGGCTTTGATCTGTCGTCTGTCCACTGGGATGGCTGATGGCAGTTCCTCGCATTTGGCGAAGTGTCTAGGACGATGGAGAGTTTGGCCTCATCCTTGTGAGGGAGCCAGCTGGCTGGCATGACTGTATGGCAGGTGGGATGCCACCACCGTGCCTGGATGCATCTCAGCTTGTGTTGTGGGCCTGTCTGACCTGACCCTGCATGTGGCCTGTTCCTCCAGTTAGGTTGAGGGGACGCTTTGGGGTGTCTGGCGCCAGGGCTCTGGTGGCTGGCGTGCTTTACTTTGCATTGGGGGCTGGACTGCTTGGGTTGCATTGACCTGACAGCCATGGGTATAAGAGGACCATACAGATGTGGGTGCCTGGGACGGCTGTGACTGACTGGGGGTGGGGTGGGCTATTCGGCAGGTTAGATGTTAGATACCTGCTCTGGTGTCTGTGGAGGCGGGTGCGAGGTTTATAGGGAGATGCGGTGGAAGGGCTGTAACCACCTGGAGGTGGTGTTTGGGGTAGACCTGTTCTAATTCTGCTCTTCTCCTTTGAGTGGCACCCGATCCCAGCCCTTTTTTTTCTTTAGAGCTCAAGCTGCTGCAGAAGCACTTCTGCCATAGTTTAGAAATCATACAGATTTGAGGTAGTCTGTGAGAACTCCTCGCTGCAGAACTCATATTTGGTTCGAACCATTATGTTTTTAAGCTTGAATATTCCTAGTGTACAAGAAAGAGGGAGAGCAAAGATTCCCGCTTGAGATTTGACTTCGTATATAATGAAATGCTATTTATTGTGTTTATTTTTTATCTTGTGAAAATGTCTCTAATTAATTAATTGAAATCAACAAATGTATGTTCCGACCCTTGTTCAAAGCAATTAACAATGGAAATACTAAAGATAAATCAAATATTATTTGGCATGGTCATTTTTCATGAAATGATTTGCTTGATCAGAATCCAATACCCTTTAGTATTGATTTTCTTTTAAAAGAGTGATCATAATGTTGGTAATGAACTGTGATGAGCACATAAACATTAAATTGGTGTTTAAAACCTTAATTAATTAAAGCTTGTTTTAGCTCTAAAAAAAGAGCTTGACATCTCAACGGGGCGTACCATACAGCCCATCTTGTTAGCTTGTTTTGCACAAAAGTAAGCTCATGAAATTATCAGAAATCATCACACAATCAAATTGTCTACCTCAAAACTATCCGCTAACAAGCCAGACATTTATCCTCTGCTAATCTCCATTGTGGAAAAGGTTGAGTTGTCTCCAGTACTTAGCAGTTTAGCATGACAGGCCCACAACTGGGAGGTTCTCCTTTGTTCTCAGATGCTCCACCTCACCTGGTCCTTTCAGGCATCATAAAGTTCCTGAAAATCAGGAACTTTCAGAAATCAGAAATGTTGTAAAACGCTGTTTTTAAGTTAGCCACTAGGTCAACTTAGCCTTTGATCAATCTGTAGATTCTGGTCCTTGGCTTGTGGTCTTCCATGATGGTGCCTCTTCTATGTGGCTGGCCCAAGATCAGCTCTGAAAGAAGATAAGAAAAGCATGAAATATTTGCTCTGTCCTTAAAACACCATGGGGGGCAGTGCCTTATGTGTTTGTAGGAGTCTCTTGTCAGAGGGGGGTTTGCAAAGAGAGTCCAACTGCAGCGCAAACCTGGATCCTCCTGGGCCAATGATCACGATTACTGTAATATCAGCATGGAAACTGGTCCAACATGACCAAAATAAATATTGGGGTTAATGGCCCAAATGTAATGTTTAGGATACATAAGAGCAAAAACAGATTCAAGAAAAGTGTTTTATACAACAAAACAGACTTCAGCAGGTAACAGGAAGGCTAAAAAAACTAAGATTATCGTTGTTTTGGTCTTACCTTTTATGCTTTTAGTGTATGCTTTGCCAGTTATGTAACACATTACATTTAGAAGAATGTTCTCATTAAATGTTCTCTATTAACTGCGATCATTATTTTTCTTCATTTCTTTGCAGGGGTTTTATATATCTTGGAAGCAGATCCTACATGCTGGAACCATGTGCCAACTGTTCTGATGGGATTCACTGGATCTACCCAGCAGAACACCTACATTTTGTTCCTGGCACCTGTGGTCATGGTTTTAATATTTCCCACCCCACTCAAAACACAGACACCAGTCCATTTAGAGCATTCGGCACACGAGTAAGAATTTTTATTTTTTTCTTACCTTTATGTTTCACCTTACACAATACAGTGTTAAAGGCTGTCAGAAAATACAGATCAGTTGACCTAAACATTCAGATTCCTGGTTGGCAGTGGAAAGAAGTACTCCTATAAAAGATATTTAGGATTTTTAAAGTAAAGTTTCATTGTGGAGATATTATTAGCAATCAATATCTTGCCTATAGCAGAGAGAGTTTAGAGATGATTGAGATTAGAGAAGCAGAAAGATTTGACAGGAGGTTCAAGCTCATGTTTTGTCAGACTTGAATCAGTTAGAAAGCCACTAGTTATCATCGTAAACTACTTGGATTATGGCATACTGTCAAAAGAAAATCTCATAATTTCTTAGATCACGTCACAATATTTTAAAGTATAATCTAGTGACTGTCACATATTGTTTCATGACCCCTAAGTGGGTTATGACCTCCACTTTGGGAACCTCTGCTGTAAGCCTTTTGAATAATACGTTTTTTAATGTGCATTTAGGCAAATGGGCTGCTGTATGTTTTAAAGGCTGCGAGCCTAATTATTACATTTCTCCATCTGAATGTTCTACTATATATTGAGCCTGGTTGTTGGTAAACATGAATGATGAAATGCACACATTGTCTGGTAAGGAGCACAGTTTGTTCTTAATATTATATCAGGCTGAAGGCGCCAACTGGGCTGGTCACTTAAAAAAAGAAGGAAGAAATATCTCACCTAATTTTCACTCCTCTGCTCAATGCATGTGACCCCTCCTATCATAGTTATAAATCATAGTGGCTATAGCCTTATCAAATCTTTACCCTCAGAGGGAATGCAGCTTTGTAAATGATAAACCCTGATAAGGGAAAAATACAGACTCCAGTGATTTTCTGTGTTGGTTTTGAAGAAAATCAGGCCCTGTAGAACACAGCTGATTTACCAGATCAGTGCAAACAGTGATTGGAGGTGTCAGAGATGCAAAGGATATTTAAGGACTTCTGAAGAGGTCAGGCAAGCATAGGGTCTTTAATAAAGTATTAATGCTCCTTAACTCTTTTACATTTTGTCTTATTACAAGAGCAAAACTCAGTTTACTGAATAGGATTTTATGCTATTTTATTTATACAGGGTAGTGCATGATTGGAAAATGAAGAAAAATATATATATTTTTTTAATACTTAAGGATAGAATCTGAAAAATGTGGCTAATTTTTGTTAATACTTTGAACAACAGTTATAGCTCAAAATGTATGGTTAACATTTTTATTCAACTTTGTAAAATAGCTTAGGCTACATCAAGCTGGATGGCCTGTTAACGTCTCTCATCAAATCTTGTTACAAATTTTCAGTTGTTCTAGTGCAGAGGTTTTTAACGTTGAGGTTGTAGCCTTAGTGGCTCTCAGTGGTACTGCAGGGTTGTTGCGAATTCTGTGCCAACCCGCTCCCTGCAGCAGTCCCCTTACACAGCCTAGCCTAAAATATATGCTTACATATGTTTTGAAACAAATGAATCAAGCTTGGTAACTTTTACAATTTGCCTAAAACTAAAAAAACTCAACCAACTTTTATCTCCATCAGGTTTTCTCTTTTAGGATTGTCCCGTTTAGCTCCATATATCTTTGAATCAACTCTTAGTTGCTTGAAATAGCTGAGTTAAGGGAAGTTTACTATTGTCGTTTTAATAAGTGCTCATTAACATCAGCGTGAAAAATGGTCTAAGTTTCTTAGTATTGGCTAATAGATTAACTTTCTGTTCCTAAATTACATCGACATTGGGGATTTTTCTAAGCTTTGTATTGCAGCTCGAATTCTGCTGGTGATTATAGTGCTGGCTCTTGCTGCATGTATTGTCTTTGGTCGTATGAGGGCTGCATAATGGAACCATGAGAGAACAGATCTTGACAAAAGCACAAAGGATGCCTGACAGAAACAGAGTGGGAATACGAACAAAAGGAGAAAAATGGCCCTCACAGATGATTTACGAGCTTGTTAAAATTCTGGTTTGATTCTACACCGTGAGAGGGTTTATTGGGGGGTGGTTTTAAATTTACTTTAGGCCTTTTGAATAATTGAAGAAAACAGCAATTTAGATAGTGGTGGGACATTTGAAAGGGAAACATATTATGTTCAAAATTAAAGACAGAAGTGATTCAAATAAACCTAAAATAAAACAGGGGAGGATATTAAAAGTTGCAGAAAAGAGATACATTAAAAGCTAACAGAGTAGTTTTTTGCTCTTCCTGACAGACATGAAAGCTCGCATATACAGGCTACACAAGGGCACAAGTGTGTGAGCTGCTGTGTTAATAAGATGCAGTGTGTTATGCTTAAGGTGTTAAGATAAGAAGTGGTTTGTGGAGGGTTCCTGTGGAGTTAGATAGGCTCAGAGAGGGTATAGAGGTATGACGGGTTGCTGACAGGCCCTGCACTTCAGTAATACAACTTCATGGAGATTTCAAATATAACAAGCTGAAAGTGTCACCTGCCTACGATGTCACAGCTTGATAGTTTTAGAATAGATGAAGAATAATGGAGGATTAATTGTAAGACCCAAAAAAAAGAAATAATAAAATCAACATCCTCTTGGAGCTGAAATTGCGTTGAAAGTTAGAGTAATCTTGAGAATTCTGAGTCCTTTTCAAATTCGAGATATTATGGATAAATAACAAATCCATAAATAAAGTCATGGTCAATTTAGAGGTCCAAAGGAAAACTGACATCCAAATTTTGGATGTTTTAGGGGAAACTTGAAGCAACTATAAAACATGCAAAATACACAGAGAACCGAACCTGCAAACTTTTTGCTTTGAGGCATCATGGCATTTCTGTCAGCTGTGTTTGGGATATTAAACTGCTGCCTATTAAATGTAATAGTGTTCTTATGCCTTACAAATACAGTAAATCCATTAACTAACTGGGAACATAGTAAATACGATTTTGTTAAAGGGATTAATATATGTTTTTTAAGCTGTTGGCTCAGGAAGATTTATCAGGAATGTATATGACATGTTTCACACTCTTGTTTATAAGGCATTTGGAAATCATTTATCTTTTTGTTACTCTAATTATGTTACTTTAAGCTGATTTGCCACTTAACTAAAATAATTTTGACTTTGGAGATTCTAATATTACCAAGATATAAAACCTCAAAGAGTAAAAAATACTTTAGCTACAAACTTATAAAAGTGTTATCAAACATATGCTTGAAATTCTTACTTATACACTGTTCTAACTGACTGCCCTTTTATTTCTTTCACCTCACTGTTCATACGGCCGTTCTCCAATGTGTCCCTAGACACTTGATTATCACCATAGCATGCTTTCAGAGCATACTTGCCCATGCTGGCTTATCTATGGAGGAGGCAGATAAGAGCAAAAAGCTGCCAGGCCAGAAAGGACAGAGAAGCTCAGGTTGACAGAGTGCCACAGCAGGAAGGCAGAACCCTGAGCCAGCAGGATAGCATTGGATGTAGTAGTGTGCGGGTTGAAAGGACAAGCTCATGTCTGTCTGAGATAGAGGAAAAACAAGTTGTTATCAGAGGATTCTGTGACCCTCATGGTTGGCACTGGGTTATACAGTAAAGGGTAACTGATTGCTATGTGCTGATTCTCATTTCTTTTGCATTTTGAATTCAGTTCAACAGATCAGATGTGAAGAGGTCACCTGATGAGTTTACGCTGCCCGTCCTTCTTAATGCTCCTATCCCTTCCAACAATCCTTTTTTCTTTATTTTGTTTAAATTGCTCAAATTGTGAACTATGGAGGGAGTTGGTGAGATATTTTAGAGCTGTTCACAAACTCTAAAATAGATAAAGCTATTTAGTCTACAATAGCTGTAGTGTTACCCGAGGTGTGCCTCAAAATTATACGACAGGGAAATCTTTAAGCTTTGTATATATAAAGAAAAAATGTATTTGTTCTTTAAAACTAACTATGATAAGGTTGTCTTTAACGGTCAAGTTAGATTTGCTTTGAGTCAACAACACCAACAGTTGTAATAGTACCATAAATGAAAGATGAAAAGATAAGAACAACAAATGACTATTAGTTATTTCTTTATGACATTGACTGCATTTTTCATTTATATGTATATTATTATATTATATTATAATATTATATCATAATATTTTATATTATATTTATAGAGACGATCATAATGTCCAAACTTGTTAAATTCATTTACTAGATGTTTTTTTTTTGTTTATGTTCAGATATATTTCACTTTTTTTTTTATTTAATTATAATGTCACCATCTGTTAGTTATGGGTTAAAATGACATTTGCAAGTTTTTTCGGGGTTTTTTTTTATTGTTTTTTTCCTACATGCTCTCCCTTGTGGAATATTACAATTGAAAATCTAAACCAAAAAATGAATCAATCTCATGGAAGCAAATATTCAAACTTTCTGAGCTGCTGCAGCTGTTGATGTGCTTCTCTTTGTGTTATTTGTGCTTGGATCCAAACTATTTCTTTGTATTTATTTTTGCATCTAAATTTTCTATTTAGTTTTGCATCTAAAGGGGAACAAACGTAGAAATGAGAATCCAGTCCCTCATTTTCCATTTCTTTTTTCAGCATAAACGCCACATTCAGACAACCACCAAATATGTGGAGCTCATCATTGTTGCTGACAACAGAGAGGTAAGAAGAGGTCATAAACTTCTCCCCTTCAGCTAGGTTCCACAGGAAACGGTCTCAGAGGTCATATGCTAAACTGTTGTTTTCCCACGAGGTACTGGATGAGATGGCCCTGCCATGGCCCCGTTGTCACCTCTGATGTGTCGCTTACTCATCCGTTTCCTTGCTCTGGCTCCCTCTACATCCTACTGCATTCATCATAGAACCGCTTGACTCACAAATGAGGCCTGATATGCTCTCAGAATAAGCCTTAAATCCTTGACTTAGTATCTCAAAGAGAGGAGAGCGTTTCTCACTTGCACAAGATTTATAGGTCAACATCACATGATTTAGAGCAGCAGAATAAATGCTGTACATAATAGGAGGTCTATAAGGTTATCTTTAGTTTGTGAGCGTAGCTAACAAGAGTTCTTTGAGGGCTTAAAAGTGCTGTAGAAGATGTAACTGCATTTCAAATACCTGAGTGGGGGCTAAACGTTCTGTGCTTTGTGTTTTACTCTTGCTGTCCAGTTTCAGAAGCAAGGCAAAGACATTGACAGGGTGAAACAGCGACTGGCTGAGATCGCCAATTATGTGGACAAGGTAACAATCGAAGAAAACAAGTGGATGCAGTGTTGAGATGTGATTTATTTGAAACAACAGCAAACTGAGTGGAGATTATCTGATCTGTGTGCAAAGACTGAAGGGATTTTTAGCCACAGATGAATTTGAAAACTTGACTTTCAAATGTAAAAGGTGCTTAACAACAGAATGTGTATTTTTGTTTTGGTAAAAATTTTTCTAAATCTGAACCAAAATAAAAAACAAATGTCTGCACTTTTGAAAAGCTGAAAGAAATGAGACAGACTGAAAGAGAACAGTTTGTGTCCGTAACCTGTTTTCTTTGTTAACTCTCAGTTTTACAGACCTTTGAACATCAGAGTTGCATTGGTTGGGCTGGAGGTATGGAGTGATGTAGACAAGTGTCCCATTACACAGGATCCCTTCACTACCTTGCATGAGTTTCTAGACTGGAGAAAAGTCAAATTACTGCCTCAGAAGCCTCATGACAACGCCCAGCTGATCAGGTAGTTTTTTTTTTTAAAGTACATCGGAATGTTTCTATTGTTTCACATGTATGTTTTCAATCTTTTGCACCAAAGAAAACTGTTATGGAAAGATTGAAATTAGATAACCATCCGTATGCCATTTTGCAATAATTCATTAAAGTGATGTTGGAAGTTGGGTAGTAATAGGCAATCTGCATACTTTTTGATGTAGCAACATATCAATCACAATGTAACCCACATCTAAAAAAAAAAAAAAAAAAAAAGAATCCTGTGTAAAATATAGTTAAAGTGAATAATTAAAACATACGATAATTGTTATGAAAAAAGGATTGATAAAAAAAAAATCAAAGGAAAGTTGGACTGAAAACTGAAAAAAAAATTTTTTAGACAGCACAAGCAAAATCAAAATCTTGATTTATAGTTATTTATGGTTTCTGGGCTTCTACAATATTTTGGAACAGATTACAGACTAGTGGAACATAGAAACTAAAAGCTGCTTCTCTGTAATTTATTGATTTAGTTCTGGTTCTATGTGTGCAGACTAGATTTGATCCCAAAGACCTGAGAAGTCTGAGCAGTTGATACACAGAAAAGTCTGTAATGTGTTTTGGTTCTAAGCCATTTTGTGATTTACCGACTGACAGCTGCAGTTGTCTGATCAGCTATTTAGGCAGACCTGCCAAGACACCATTGCAGTAATTAATTCTACTAAAGATGAACACATTAATTAGTTATTCCAGCTCCTGCTGAGAAATTAGTCCTTTAAACCTAGAGATGTTCTTTCTGTGATAGAAAGACCGTTACTGTCTTCATGTTGCCTCTGAAGGTTCAGGTAAAAGGGAAAAGTATAGAACACACTTTCTGAAATGTATTTACAGTAATACTTTATACAGAAGCCTTTGTTGGTAATGACATCTTCAAGATGCCCACTTTGTGGAGAAATTAGTCACATGCTTTGCTCAGGTGTGAATTTTGCCCATTCTTCCACACAAACAGTCTTCAAATCTTGAAGGTTTCGTGGGTCTTTACTATGAACTCTGATCTTTAGTTCCAATAGAAAATTACATTTTGTTTCGTACAGCTCTCACAAAATTTCCATTTGTTAAAGAGTTGCTGTGATCAAATGTAAACAGTGTGGGAGAAAAAAAGAACATTGCAAAAACAAAAATGCATTGATATGAAAAGTCAGAGCATTAAAATATATGTGGTGCAGTTATGTCGTGTTTTGGTTTGGTGTCAGTTTTTTAACTGCCCAATCACAACTTTATCAGTAACCTTACAGCTGAAAGGGAAGGTTTGAGATGGTCACTGTTATTCTTTTTTAACATTGTTTTGATAATTGCTGCTTTTGGACCTGTAGTTCAATCATTTGTTATGATAGGCAAAGTTTTCTCTCAGCAACAATGGTGTCAAACAATGGTATAGCAGTAGCGAGAAGTTAGTAGGTTAATTGTTTTTTTGTGAGGTTTTGTAGTATATTTCATTTATCTTTAACCCCATGGAGACTTTTTATGACCGTCGCCTTAAAGGGAGCATTTAATGAAAGATTAATGAAAAATTAAAATGTAACTTATCTACAACACATCCTCATCAGTGCTGACTGAATTTCAAGCTGACTAAAGTGTTTTATTTTTGTCCAACCACACAATTACTGATCAGTGGGTACTTTAAAGAGGCTTATAGCCCCTCCTTACCTTCTTTGTTCTACCGGACACAAGATGCACAATGTTGCTGAAAGTTGGCCTGATCCAAAATTCTTGGCTGACTGAAATATAATTTGAAAAAAGGCAGTAAATCGTACTGTGTGTCGCCGTCCTTAGCTTAATTAGTCTAGCAACCAGACTGACCACTCAGCAGGACCCCTCAACTCTATACATGTAAATAAGTTAAAGGTAGGATTATGATCTCAATAAACTGACAACACAGATGAAGTTTTGAGGTGTGCGGTTCTTTATTTCTTATAAACCTTAAAAAAAAAATGTTTTATATTACAACATTTAACAAGTATTGACTGACTGACTGACGGACGAACATTACAGCTCAAGCTAGTCTAAGATTAAACTCCACAATCTGGCTAAGTAAGCAGCCCCCCATGGGCCCTCCCTTAAGAACTAGGGCACTGCCAATTCCACACAGAAAAAAAATATATCCTTTCTTGACAAACTATGTCAATTAAGTTTTGGGGTGTACTTCCTTGCTTAAAGGAGGGTGAGGGGTGGCTGAGTGGTTAGGGCATAGAGCTCGGAATCCTGAGGTTCTGAGTTCCAGCCCCGCTCCCACAGACTGCGACTCTGTGTCCCTGAGCAAGACCCTTATCCCCCACACTGCTCCCCGGGGGTCGCACAATGGCAGCCCACTGCTCCCCAAGGGGATGGGTTAAATGCAGAGAGTTTTATTTAATTCAAACACAAAAACCTGCTTTGAAGAGAGATTCCATTATTTCTAGCTGTCTGGCTCCTATCAGCTTATGACATTTTTTGGCAAGTTTTCCCTTTATGAGGGAAAATGGGGATTTTTTTCTAATCATGGCCATTCTGATTTCATTAATTGGTGAGATTTCTTTGTAAGTTGTCTTTCTTGTTTTGCCTTGCTCTTAAAACATTCCAGCACAGGCTGCTATGTGAAAAAACAGGCAGAGCGGAAATATCGCTGTGCCCCACATTGAATTCCATATCCAATTGTCTGTATTTGAGATCACAAGCAGAGTTAACTGTATCCAGTATCCAATATTTACCTAAAAAATCAGGTTTAGTCAATGGATTTTCATCATCAAATCCATCAATTTCCATTCAAAGTCCTCCGATATGTATGGCAAAATCTATTAGAAAAACTAATTATGATAATGATAATATGGTGTTCCTGGTATGAATTAGTTTCAATCCAACTTTTCATCAATTTTGGCTAAATAAAGAGTAAGATATTTAAGAACGAAAAGGAAAGGAAAGCCTCTTGGCAGGCAGAAGACATCACATTGTGTGTTTTCTACTGAGCTATTTATAAATATGCTGTAATCTGGACAATCTCAGTATAGCTCTGGTTATATGTTTAGGGTTGCTTTATGACTAGGAAGGGAGCCTCCTTCCCATTCTTATGTTTTACATACCAGGTTTTTCTCCCTACTTTCCCACAAATGACAGATGTTTTATTCTTCCATCTGTCAATCTCTGCAGCTCCTCCAGAGTTACCAAGGGCCGCCTGCCTGGTTCTTAAAATAAAGCCTTCCTCTTCGTGGTCCTGAATACAAATGAGATAAACTCTTGTGGGATTTTCATTTGTTTAGAAAAGTGTATAATTTTTCTTCCACCTCATTAATCAGCACCACTTTCTGTTGGTTTGTCCCATGGAAAAAAAAAAAACAAGATGCATGAAGGTTAATGGTTATGAAATGAAAAGTGTGAAAAAGTGAAGCTATTTTCTCTCTTTCAGTGGGGTGTATTTCCAGGGGACTACTATTGGGATGGCCCCCATCATGAGCATGTGTACAGCGGAGCAATCCGGTGGAATTGTTATGGTATGTATATTTAGTACTAAAACTTTACCCGACTCTTCCTTTTAATATCCACCTCCAATTTGTGGTCTCCTGCCTATCTTACAAAAACAGTTCTGCAGATTATTACTCTGTGTTCTAATATTTGGGAGAGGTTGTCCTCATTGTGTATTTTCTCCTGACTTCCAAAGGGAGATGATGTATTGTCATGGTGATAAAGCTGTTCGAAACGATTATTTGGAAAATGTTTGACTTTTTAATGAGGTGCAATAATGGAGGGAATTTGACGCTGCAGTGTGTGCAGCCTGAATGAAAACACAGGGGATATATATGGGATGTAAATGATGACCCATTACAGATCTGCAATTCTATATGGTGGGATTGAGTCATGCAGCATTAGCACAAATCATGCTGGTATTTTACCCTGAGTGTCTCTGGCCGGTTAATGGCCTGTCCCCCGGAAGAGTCTTCACCCCTATCCTCCCAGATGGTGAAGTTGGGTCCAGGTCATTAAAAAAAAAACACACATTCAGGCTAAAGGGATTAACTGCTGACATATATATGGGCTCACAAATCACAGCCAAGTTCTCTGAGCTGTGTCCCTTTGTTTACAGAATACTTTTAAACTCATTAGCTTGACATTCCCTGGAAGTCTCATTACTATACTATATATATGGATTCTCTATGTAACGACTGCAATTGTTCAAATGATTTAATTTAAGCTCTGGAACTTCATTTGTTGTGCATATGTTTTATTTTCTTTAAAGGAAACCGAGTCAGGGGTTATTGTTCTTTCATTTCATTAGTCTAGGTTGCCCTGTTGGATTGTAGAGCTGACAGCTGATTGGTGTTTTTTCATTTTTTTTTTTTAAATAAGCTCCCAGCAGAGCGGCTCGTCAGTCTGAGTTCAACTCGTGCTGCACTGCTAAATAATGCACAGTGTCAGAAGCTTCCAGAGGCAAGGTGCTCTGACACACAGCTCTGCGTTCACGAAGAGCTGATAGCTCCCATAGCTGCATTATTCATTCGGCCTTTTCATGTGTTCATGTTTTACACACCTTGCAGGAAACCTTCAGCAAGCTGCATACTTTTGCTCGTCTTTGTTTATCCAATGCTTTGAAATGTGGTTCAGTTTCAGCAAATTTTTTGCAAAAGATTTTAGGTTAAAATCACAAAAACATTTTTTTTTTGTAATTTTTATTCTTCTCAGTTGAATGTAGGCATGAACTTTGGCCTAGACATACCAAGACATGAGCATGCTTCCATCTAGCTCATTCTGTTGTAGCTTGGTTGCAGTTTTAAGGTTTTTTTTTTTAATTTTTTTTTTTGCTCGACCTATGAAACAGGAGGCCCTAAATCTCACCCTTTTCTTTTAAAATGCATCTTATCTTTGGTTTCCAGTGTTTCCTGTCAGTGTTTTTTCCTGTCTTCAATTAGAAATATTTTTTCGAGGAAATCTTTGTTTGTTACATCCAGAAGCACAGCTGTCTCTGTCAGAATATGTTGAGCAAGCATAAAGAGAAAGCACAAAATCTGACTACAGCTGCTTTTTCTTTCTGGCAGCACAATATGATAAAAACACTCGACTGAACACAGATCTGTCTGAACTGTTTGCTTAATCTGAACAATATCCAATTAAACCATCCAAGCCTTAGGTTATTTCTTCATCAGATCTTTTAGAGAGCTTGGATTTGATTTGTTTTGTTTTTTTGTCCAAAAAATCTAAAGGAATTGAATCATTGAAATAGTCCTAGGCTGTTAGAAGAAGTGAAATAATTGCTAAGAAGAAGTAAAAAAAAAAAATGAAGCAAAAATGGTTGACTGGTCTATTTTTCAGGATCATTCGGACAATCCTCTGGGAGCTGCGGTCACTCTGGCTCATGAACTTGGACACAACTTCGGCATGAACCATGACACACCTGAGAGGGGATGTGGATGCAGAGTGACAGTGGATCGCGGGGGCTGCATTATGACTCCCTCCACTGGGTAAGACATATTTCTTTCTTTACAACTTTAAATCTCAATATTTCTACCAGATGTATGGCTCCATATTTCCTGCAGCATGCTCCAAAAACATGGCAAATACATCATCGCTGCCTGAAGTTTAAATAATTCAGCAATGTAGTCCTCCCTTGAAAAAAAAACTAAATTGTGATCTTGGGTCAACATCGTTCCACATGCACTCCTTTTGTAATTTATTGTCTGTTGAGCAACAAGCAAATGAAGCCATTTAATTATTTGGTCATTAAGTTTAGTGCAGATTCAACAGCTGCACTAATGCCTTGAGGCATTATGATGCCGTCTGAATGGATGAGTAAATGGTTGACTAGCAATGTATGACAAAGACAGCACAGTTTTACATATTCTAAGCATAAGTAGGTGAAGTTTTAGTTGATGTATGCAAAACAAAAACGTTGTGCAACTAATGTAAAAAAAAAAAAAGTCCATGATGTTGCAACGTACATCAGAAATATCTTGTAGCTACAAAAAGGCTTAGTTGAAATACTATGTTTTTGTTTTTATATTGTTTTAAACAATAGATAGATAGATAGATAGATAGATAGATAGATAGATAGATAGATAGATAGATAGATAGATAGATAGATAGATTTTATGCTCACAAGTGGAGCATTATCACTTTCACCATAATGCTCTGCTTGATTTATATATGTTATTAGTTTTATTTGGATTTATGTAGGAAATTTACTTTTGTTATGTGGACAGAACAGAAAAGGGAGAAAAGGTTAAATGGAAGACAAAAGAGAGATATTGACAAACCTCCATTAGTCGCTTTATCTTCTGCAAAGAGATGTAAAAAGAACAGCTCAGCCAATTTATATATAAGTACAGATAGAGTACAGCCACATTCAGTATTAAGCAATATGGAATACATAAAGTAGTAGCTGAAGATAAACATTGGCGACTATGTAACCGAATCCAAGCACCTGTAGATGTTTCTGAGAGTGCGTTTATGTGTGTAAGGTTTATCCATGGGGAAAATGCTCAATAGTGGTTGTGAAGAGCCAAAGACCCGGCCCCCGGGAGGTGCCATAAGGGTTTCCCAAGAGGGGCCAACACAGGATAAAATATATATATATTTTTTTCCCTTTTGAATAAGCTCTGTTAAAGTAACCATTATCTAGTATAAGTTTGATCAATTTTTGTATTTTAGACTTAATGATAGGAATTATCAAACACAGTCAAAACATTAAAACACCTTTAGCTTAAGGTCAATTGGAAGCTTTAAAGTAGATCCTCTAGCATCTTTAGTCGCTACCTATGATCCAGTAGTCATAATCTCTGTACCTTTTACAGTAATGTTTTGTTTTACAAGTGACCGATAGTTTTTACATATAAATACTTAATTGTTGGGGGCTTCTTTTGTGCTGTTGTAACGGACTCTTAGGAATCCTTATGAGCTGCATGTGTTCACAATTCAGAAACAAACTACTTCCTTTCTCACTTCAAAAAAGCAGTACGTTTCAAAAGAATTGGCCATCATGCCTAAAACAGTAATCATGACATCTACGCCGCTTTTTTAAAGGCAAGACTGTGTTAGACTAATGTATTGAGTCCTAAGTATAGAATAACCTGACCAGACAAAGTCTAAGGAGGCACACCTCCTTCTGTTGTAGGACTCTAACATAGAAACCTCGGCTATAATATGAGTTTAAAAGGTTTACCCTCCTGTCCTCGGCTTTGTAGAAGCTTAGGGATGATCTGGGTGGAAATATTGGAGTATCCTGCCTGAGCACCAGTCTAATGATGTGTGGGAGCCACAGACTGGAAATGTCTCTCTGTATTTTTTTTGGACAACACCCATGAAAAGCACAGTTACAATATTCTAAATTATAGACTTAAAAAATAGAACAATAATATGAGGTTCACAGATTTACTTTCACCCTGACTCAGGGTATTTATGGGCAAGGATGTTGCCAAAAATGGCAGCACATTGAACTTAGAAAAACAGAGAGAAAAAGATGTTTGCTGAAGTGTAAATAAAAGGGTTTTGTCTTTCAGTTGTTCCACCACTATTTCTGTTTCAGTTGCTCTTACATTTTCAAAGACACTTGGAGTGAAGCCATTCTTTGATATTCATGCAACATTAATGTCTGAAAAATCTCCCAGCAGCTTCAGATAAGTAGTTAACTATGTCTGAAAACTTGTCACTTTACTGCCATAAAAATGAAATCAGAAAACCTCTCTGAAACTATCTAGATCTAAGGTCACATTAATATTACTTAGTTTTATTTAAAAAAAAATCATAGGTTCATTATAAAATTTTTATTACCATGAAAATAAAGAATTTTTTGATGTTTTCTGTACAAAGAAAAAAACAAACAACTTAGGTTCAGTTGACATAAGGATCCCATATAATTTCTTTAGTAGGCACATTTTGCAGTGCAGATTAGCATGACCTAATGATAGAAAAAAAGGGTTAAGAATCTGTGCCCTTTATTTTTTTATTTCAAGAAAGTGCTGCATTGTATATAGGAAGACCTAAACAAATTTATATCATTTTATTTCAAAAGTGCTTTCTATTTACGGTACTCACTGATATTTCCAAGTTTAATTGAAAATTCTGAAGGAGATCCCTCATCAACTCACTGTAGGTCCCCGTCTAGCAGCAAGTATAGCATCCAATACGACAGCTGTGCAAATAAAATCCAACTTGAGGAATAAAGTGTAAAGCTAAATTTATTTGCATCATAATAAATCTATAGCCTCACAGGGTCCTTTGTAATCAATATTCATGTTATTTACATTAAAAAAAGAACATAAATGGGCTTGTATTGATTATAGCAGTTAACAACCATGCCAAGAATTGTTCCTAGACTGCTACGGTTGAGTGTGAATTTATTTAAAGTCAGTGGTTCATATGACACAAATCAAAAACAACATAAATGGAGTTGTTACCTCAAATACAATATTTTCTCGCAAACAAAGTAAGGTGATTACTTCATTTCCATCAGAGGATGTATAGATCTTTATTAAATATCAGTCTGATGTACTACTTGATGTTATGGTTTGGATCAAATGGCTTACAGATTATTTGTTTACTATTGATTATTCTGTAATCTAATTTCAAAAGCATGTGCATAGTTTTGCAAGTGAATTGTTTTGCATTGGGCCAAGTTTAAACCAGTTTATTTTACATGATCAGTCATACTTCCTTATTTTAAAGTGAAGGGAAGATGGGTACTCTGAAACTTGCAATGCATAGACCCATCTTTTGGGGCAATTATAGCTCCACGTTGTTGGAGTTTTCGCATTAAGTTTTGCAAAGCTAGGGACAAAGTAATTGACTCATTTTTGTTTGCAAAATTGCTCAAATAGTAATTAAAGTAGAGGAAATGTGTATTTAAGGTACAAATTCAGGTCTTGAAAAGTCTTAATCCTGTACTTGATTTACAGTACATATTAGCTTGAACCAAAGAAAAGCTGGTGGTTTGCATCCTATGAAATCATATCTCCTAAAAGCACAAAACATAATTATACAAGAACCAACAAACACCTTATGGTTCTCTTTATGGGCACATATACAAATAGGCACACAAATATGTTCATAAGTATGTGTCTCTTAGCTGGAACTGAAACAGAGGATTTGTATTGCTTTATGCCTGGATTGCTTTTATTTATTTCCACTACAATGTCTCATTTCTCCTCCAGGCATTTGGTCATGTTTACACTTACTTTGACTCCTTCTGTCCTATTTAAGAACGCACTCGGAATAAAAGAGAGAACCTAATATGAACAGATTATTCCACATAATGTCAGGATCTGCAAGCTCAAAATATGTGACACCAAGGAACAGTGATATTAGGTATGAAATGTTTTTATTTATTATTACTATTAAATCCTAAATTAAAATTTGTCTCATTCACCAGTTATCTTAAGTGATTTTTTTTTTCTATTCCGTTTACTCATCATAGAAATGTTCTCAGAGGAAAAAGGGAACAAAAAACAGTCCAGGATAGATGAGGAATTTCAAACAGAAAGTCCTGCCTATAGATTAAGGTTAAATTGCTGGAGTATTTCACAATTATACTTAGCCTCATTGGGAGTTCATTCTTTGAAAAGTTGTTACAATATACTAAAAACACCAGATATATATTTTGTTTTTCAATTTTTAAGATAAAATGTAATAACATTTCTGCTTTTTGAGTTGGTCTTTTTATATTCCTATCACTTCAAATGTACATGCATAAATCCTAGCTGCAATTCTAAAAAGAAAAACATGTTTAATTTTAAACAAATTTTTAACAATTGCATTGTGAGCATACAGTTCTAGTGAATATCATTTTAAAACATACAGCTGATTATTTATGCCTAATTCTCATAGGGATCATATCACACATGAATACCTTAATAAATATAGAATACAATTCAATTATTGTCATTCCACTGTCACAAGTACAGAGCAACGAAATTAATTCACTGGATTTAACCCATCCCCCTGGGGAGCAGTGGGCTGCCATTGTGCGGCGCCCGGGGCGCACTGTGGGGTTAAGGGTCATGCTCAGGGAGCCAGAGTGACAGTCAGTGGGAGTGGGGGATCGAACTCACAACCTCAGGATTCAAAGCCCCATGCCCTAACCACTAGGATATTCAAAATAAACTACACATTTCATTTAGCCATTAACAAGATACTTGTGGGATTCCTAATGAAAGCTATTCATTAAAGAAAGTCAGAAACCATCTTGTTTAAAAACTAACTTCAAAAATGTAAATCTGCAATGTATGCAATAAGGTTTTTGCAACTTTTGTCCTTTTAACTTATTTCAAATTAAGATAATTTGAAATAAAATTATGAAAAGGATAAAAGTTTCAAAAACCGTATTGCACACATTGCAATGAGGTCTTGCAACTTTTATCTTTTTATCAAGTTATATTAAAATTGTTTTATGGCAACAGGTAAATGGCCTGTACTTACTTAGCACCTGTTCAAGTGAGGGGACTTAAAAGCGCTTTAACACCACTTTCCA